AAAAAGAAGAAAGAGCAAGAAAGATGAAGAGCTAACGTTTCTAAACTTCCATCTCATTGTTACATTCTAAAACCTTAAATTCCAAACTCCTTACCATGTGAGATTGCACAATTTTATTCAAACTACACACTCACGATTGCGACTCCATTACTTAATTTTGGAAGCTTTTTCCAAAAAAGTCTTTAGGTCAGAAGCAGTGCTCTTTTACAAGTTAGTGTCAAAAACCACAAAAAGTTGAAAACTCCTGAGGTTCCAGCAGACTGGGACAGCAGAATTCCACAGAAAATGCCCCAAAGCAGCAATTTCTGTTTTGGCAGGAGGGTTTTTTGGGATGAGGCAGCAAGCCAAGCTGCTTTCACTGGCTGGCATTGTGGCTTCACACTCTGACTTGTGGTGTGAATTCTCTGCACGGCAGGAAAAAAACAATCTGAGCCTTCTTGGGCTGCTGCTCTGAATAAAAGCAGCCAGGTGAAAATCCCTGCCCGGGGCAAAGGAAGGATGGGACCCCTGTGTCCTCCCCTGGATGAAGGATTTGGGTTTTCCAGGGTGCTTGGAGCTGTGGGTGCTGTGGTTGAAGTGTTCATTTTGCTATTAAAAAAAAACCACAACAAAACAAAAAAAAAAAAAACCCTGGAGCTCAGTGGGAAGCTGAGTTTGTGATTTCAGCAGTTGCTGCCGGCTGAGGGAGGGAGGGCTCTGCCAGAAATTCAGATTTCTCTGGGTTTTGGGAAGCTGCTCAGCCTCGTGGCAGCCTCGTGGCACAGACAGAGGCTGCTGAGCCCTGGGTGCCTCTGATAAACCCTGCAGGGCTTGTGATGAAACTCGGCAGGGTTTTTGAGGCTGGCAGGGGAAGTGACTCATTTCTTGAATGCAGAATGAACTGTGTGCAGTCATGGGATCCCAGACCGGGCTGCAGGGACCCTAAATCCCACAAAAATGCTGCTGGGCAAGGCCCTGGAAAGGAATTCCAAGGACGGGAAATTTCTTTCTTGGCATGTTGTCTTTTAAAATGGTTCTATCTAACAGATTCATGGAATCCCAGAGTGGTTTGGGTGGGAAGGGACCCCAAATCCCCCCCAGAGCCACCCCTGCCATGGCAGGGACACCTCCCACTGTCCCAATGTCCAAGCTGGAACTGAACATTCCAGGGATCCAGGGGCTGCTCTGGGAATCCCATCCCATCCCAGGGAACAATTCCCAATTCCCCAAATCCCATCCAGCCCCCGCCCTTCATTGCTGATTTCTCTGTTCTGAGGTGTGCTGGGAGTTGCTGCTGTGGTGTTGTTTTTGGTTTTTTGGGATTCTGCAGGAGTGAGTGGCAGAGGTCTGAGGGCACAGATGGTGTGAGATATCTCACCACGTGCCAGACCAGGGCAGGAGGCACCGCTGCCACTGGAAAGTGAAAATCTCTCATCCACTCAGAGCACGGGGAGCCCTCAGAGAGAAGGGACACGAATGGTTTGGGAAGCTGCAAGGAACCTCCCAAAGCTGAACCAGCCCCTGTGTGTGTGTGCTGAGACCACAGCTGGGCAGCTGAGGCCAAGAAATGAATGACATAATTAAATTAAATTAATGTCAGGCCTGATGAGGGCTCTGCCAGACTGGCTTGGGATGTTTGAGGTGACACTTCCAGCCCAGGGACTGTCCCAGGCTGGCCTTGGCCACTCCAGGGATGGAGCAGCCACAGCTCAACTCATGGCTTGGTATGTGGGACTTAGGGTTTAATACGACTTAATATAGAATTTAAAAACCCCAAAGCCTTAAAACGTGACCCCAAATTCCCAAGGAAGCCTGGGCCAGAGTTTGGCTCAAGTGCTTGATCTCATTGATATAAAAATTAACAGAATGTGTGTGAGGAGCTCCTGGTCTCATTAATATAAAAATTACCAGAATGTGTGTGAGGAGCTTCTGGTCTCATTAATATAAAAATTACCAGAATGTCTGAGGAGCTTCTGGTGTCATTGATGTAAAAATTAACAGAATGTGTGTGAGGAGGTTCTGATATCATTGATATAAAAATTAGCAGACTCTGTTGGGAGGTTCTGTTGATATAAGAATTAGCAGACTGTGTTGGGAGGTTCTGATATCATTGATATAAAAATTAGCAGACTGTGTTGGGAGGTTCTGTTGATATAAGAATTAGCAGACAGTTTTGGGGGGCTCTGTTTTTCAGAGCTCAGGGTTCCAGGGGTGCAGTTTGGCAGGGGTGGCCAGGAGGGACACAGGACACACAGGAGTCCTGTAACGTTATTGCCATAAAGGGAGAGCCCATGGGGCATCCCTTGGGCTCTTCCCAATTTTTGGAGGACTCAGCCTCCTTTTTATCCCAATTTCCTTCTCTTTTTCCCCTTGGGCTGAGGTACTTGAGAGGTGCAGACTTCCCAGAGCACCTGATACCTAATACACTAATATAATATACTAATATATATTAATATATATTATATATTATATATATATATACACTAATATATACTATATTAGTGTATATAGTATATAGTAAATATACTATATTATACTAATATATAATACCTGATACCTAATATACTAATATATAATAATATATTATACTATATTATACTAATATACAATAATATATATTATATACTATATATATTCATATCAACTATCTTATACTAACATATAAAAATATATAATAATACCTGATACCTAAAATGCTAATATATACACTAACATACTAATAATATACCATATACTAATATATCCTAATATACTAATGTACAACCCTCCCTTTGAATTTTTAATTCTTATGGAATTCATGGTTTTTCCTCATTGGTAATTTCATCTTTCAATACCCGATTTTATTTATCAGCAAACCTTCAGTTTGTTTGTATTGGCAAATATATTTTTTTTTTCTCATTCATTAATCAATGCAATCCATCCCATTATTTCTTTTATCCCTCAGTGCAGTTTTTCTCTCCCAGCAGGCCCCCAGCTCGTTTGTACAGACAAATTTATCATTTCTCTGCAGAGCTTTGGGTTCTGCTGTTCCTCCCTGGCTCCAGCCCTTCCCTCCCTCCCCAGCCCCTTTTCCTCCCCACTGTTCCCATTTTCCTCCCCCCTGCTCTGCCCTTTCCAGCCCCAGCAGCTGAGTCCTCCTGCCTGGCCTGTCCCTCTGCCCTTTCCTGTCCTTTCCTGTCCTTTTCTCTCCTTTTTCTGCCCTTTTCTGCTCTTTTTCTGTCCTTCTTCTGTCCTTTTTCCATTCTTTTTCTGCCCTTTTCCTGCTCTTTTCCTCTCCTTTTTCTGCTCCTTTTTCTGCTCCTTTTTCTGCTCTTTTTTCTGCCTTTTTTCCTGACATTTTTCTTGTCATTTTTTCCTGCTCTTTTTCTGTCCTTTTCCTCTCCCTTTTCTGCTCTTTTTTTTTCTGCCTTTTTTTTCTGTCCTTTTTCTGCTCTTTTCTTGTCCTTTTTCATGCCCCTTTCCTGCCTTTTCCTGCCCTTTCAGCCACAACTCTCCCCCCTTGCTTTGCCCCTCTTGGCCAGGATTTGGGATTTGGAGTTTGGAGTTTGGGATTTGGAATTTGGGGTTTGGGATTTGGGATTTGGGATTTGGGGTTTGGGATTTGGGCTTTGGGATTTGGAGTTTGGGATTTGGAGTTTGGAGTTTGGGATTTGGAGTTTGGGGTTTGGGCTTTGGGATTTGGAGTTTGGGGTTTGGGATTTGGGATTTGGGCTTTGGGATTTGGGCTTTGGGATTTGGAGTTTGGGATTTGGGCTTTGGGATTTGGGATTTGGGGCACATCCCCACCCACAGAGCTTCTGCCATTTCCTTTCTGCTGAAATCAGCCCCAGAGCTGCCACAGCATGATCAGGGGCACTGAGTGATCCTGGAGGGGTTTTTAGTTTTTTTTTATTTCCCAAAAGGTTTCACTGGGATGGCCCCAGAGTTGGCAGGAAAAGTTCTCAGGGCTGTGCATGGGGACAAAAGGGATCTGTAGGGGATGGGAACAGATCAGTGCTGTGTCACCAGCTGGAAAACCTTGGAAAACCTTCCAGAAAAAATGAATGTCCTGTGAGGAGCAGCTGAGGGAGCTGGAAAGGGGCTGGAGAATTCCAGAGGGAAATGGGAAAGGAGATGGAGAATTCCTGAAGGGGCTGGGAAAGGAGAAAAGGAGGCTCAGGGGGGACCTTGTGGCTCTGCACAAGTCCCTGCCAGGAGGGGCAGGCAAAGGAGGAGAGGAAATGGCCTCAAATTGCAGCAGGGCAGGCTCAGATCAGAAATTAGAAATATTTTTTCCCTCCCAGAGGGGTCAGGACTGGGCTGAGCTGCCCAGGGAGGTTTGGGGTCACTGGGATTGTCCCAGAGCAGGCTGGAGGTGGCCCCTGGGGGGGTCCTGGGTGATCCTGGGGGGCTCCTCCAGCCTTGGTGATTTTGGGATTCTGGGACCTTCATTTGTGGCTGCATGGGGGGGACTGGCTGGGGTTGATGGTTTTGTGCTCTTTATGGAATGAATAAAAGCAGGGAGCTGGAATTCATGGATACAGAGAATTCCACACTGGTTTGGGATGGGAGAGACCCCAAATCCCCCCCAGAGCCACCCCTGCCATGGCAGGGACACCTCCCACTGTCCCAGTGTCCAAGCTGGAACTGAACATTCCAGGGATCCAGGGGCTGCTCTGGGAATTCCATCCCATCCAAGGGAACAATTCCTAATTCCCAAAATCCCATCCAACCCTGCCCACCCTGCCAGGGAACAATTCCTAATTCCCAAAATCCCATCCAGCCCTGCCCACCCTGAATGTGCCAGAGCCCCTGGAAAACAGAAGGAGAAGGAGGGGAAATGGTTTCACCTGCAGAGCAGTGAAAATGGAATATGTGGAGATGGAATTTGGAGACTGAAATTGGGTTGCTGGGTGCTTGAATGTTTCAATAATTATTTTTATTCTTGTTTTTTTTTCTTCAGAAACTGCTCCCTATTTACCAGCTCCACAAAATGTGGAGATTTATTCCTACAACTTCCAGAGTTTGCTGAGGTGGTCTCCTGTTAGAGTGGAGAATGGCTCAGTGTTATACACAGCCCATTACAGAACGTGAGTAAACAGCTCTGAAAACAACTCCTCTATCCCATCCAGGATAACAACTGCCTTTAAAAACCCCTGAAAATGAAGAAGCACAGAAGGAAATATTGGGTTTTTTTTTTTTTATCCCAGATGTTTTCATGAGCATTTCTGGTGACTGCCAGCCCCCAGCCCGTGGTGTGTCCTGTGAGCTGGGCAAACATTGAGGGCCCTGAGGACACCCAGAAATTCACAGAAATTCTCTGGACAATTTTAACCTTTCCTGATTCTCCCTGCCTGTAACCACTTTGTAATGAGTTTCCTGCAGCACCCAATTAGTGCCTTGTCTTCGTTTTCTCCTGCCTTCACTCGGAGTCAGGATTGAAAACACCAAGGAGATGAATTTCTTGTTCAGATTTGGGTGTTTATTAAATTTTATCTAAAGTACAGAGAGTTCTGCAACACTTCCAGCTACCAGCTAAAAGTGAGCAAAATGGAGCTGAATTTAGGTGTTACAAGGTCTCCTAAAGCTGAACAGTGCAATAGAGAATTAACACCTCTATTATTGATCCTTTTACCCAATAACCAAACTCCTGTGACCCACAGTGCAGCCCTGACTGTTCAACCAAAAATGATTAACTTGAAACGAGGAAGAAGGAAGGAGAAGGAACAAGAAAAGGAAGATGGGACAACCCCCAAAGCCCCCATCTTGTCCCATCCCTGTGACTGTATGATAAAAACCCCAAATCCCAAACCCTTCCCCATGTGCAATCCCACACTTCTATTGAACTCCACAGCCCTGATTTTAACTCCATCACTCAGATTTGGGAGCTTTGGCCAAGGGCTCAGCTCCAAAGCAGTGTTCTGCAGGGGGGCAGTGCCAGAAAGCTCAGAAAGCTCAAAATTCCAGAATTCTGGGATCCAATTTCAATGTCCCCCCATCCCCGGGGCTGGGGGGGCAGGAGCACTCTGGGTTTAACCCTTGCTGACCGTGTTTGCTTTGCTCTGCAGGGGCTCCTACCAGCACTGGAGTGGGATGGGCTGTGCCCAGACCCCCCTCACCCAGTGTGGGCTCCCCCCCGAGCTGGGGAGGCGCTGGACGGTGCAGATGAGGGTCAGGGCTGAGCTGGGCAGGCTGAGCTCAGCCTGGGTGCAGAGCCCAGCCTTCGTGCCTGAGAGAGACAGTGAGTGACCCTGGGGGGGTTTTATGGGGTTTATTTCTGTGGGTTTGTATCCTGGGTGCTTCTTTCTTGTGGGGTTTTATGGATTTTGGGTCTCTGGGTTTGTATCCTGGGTGCAGAGCCCTGCCTTCCTCCCAGAGAGAGACACTGAGTGATCCTGGGGGGGTTTATGGGATTTTGGCTCATTCTCTTGGGGCTCTGCCCCTTTCTCTTCTGGTGTTTTTATGGGATTTTGGGTCTGTGGGTTTGTTTCTTGGGTGCACAGCCCTGCCTTTGTGCCATTGGCAGTCACTGAGTGCTCCTGGAGGTTTTTATGGGATTTTGGGTCTGTGGGTTTGTATCCTGGGTGATTTTCTCTTGGGGGTTTCTGTGGGGTTTGGCTCTTTGGGTTTGTTTGGCTCCATGGGATTTGTTTCCTGGGTGCACAGCCCAGCCTTTGTGCCAGAGAGAGACAGTGAGTGACCCTGGGGGACGTTTTATGGGGTTTTGGCTCTCTGGGGTTTATTTGGTTCTCTGGGTTTGTTTCCTGGTTGCTTCTCTCCTGAAGGCTTTTTATGGGGTTTTGGCTCGTGCTCCTGGGGCTCTCCCTCTCTCTCTTGGGGTTTTTGCTCTCTGGGTTTCCTTGGTGGAGCTGTGATGTCCTCAAAGGTCTCCCCCAGGCTTTGGTTCTGCTCTGCTCTCTCAGAGAAACCCCTGAGCCTCCCAGGAGCCACAATCTTCACTTTTCCTGCAGGGTTCTCCCTGTTCTCATTTCCCCACTGAGCTCTGCCCACACAAACCCTTGGGTTTGTGGCAAAACTTTGTGCTGGGCAGATTCCCTTTTCTGATAAACATCAATTGTGCTGATAGATAGAAATTATAGTGATAAATACAAATGGTCATGGTAAGTATAAATGGTTCAGATAAATAGAAATTGTTCAGATAAATGTGAATTGTTTGCAGCGTAGAAGTGTCGAGGCCACTCTTTAAATCCCAGACAGGTTTGGGTTGGGAGGGACCCCAAATGCCACCCAGTGCCCCCCAGCCATGGCAGGGACACCTCCCCCTGTGCCAGCCCCGTGTCCAGCCTGGCCTGGGACATTTCCAGGGCTGCAGAGTGAACAGATGTGGTGCTGCTCTTCCAGGATCTGCTCCTTGCCTTGCTGGGCTCGGTTTTAACATTAGGAAAAAGAAGTCAAAGTTCAGGTTAAACAGTACCTTTGAAATGGGAAAAGGGATTTATGGAGTCTGCAGTTGCTGATGTCCCAGGGCTGCTGAGGGACAGTCCTGGTGCAGGCTCCAGACACTTCCCTTGTGCTAAATTTGGATTTTCTCTGGCAGCAGAGGGAGGAAATGCCTGAGAGCTCATTGACCCCTGCCAGCCCCAGGGGCTGGGGGCAGGACTGGGATCCTCGGGAGAATGGGGCAGCAGGAGCTGAGGGGAGCAAAGCAGAGCCTTGGGGTGGGAGGGGAGGAACATCCTGGGCTCACTCTGGTGTCACTGCCCTGAGATCAGCTCCCAAAAACCAGCCCTGGCTCCTCCCTCAGTGCCTGCCTTGGGGCACAGTGAGGAGCTGGAGCAGGCAGGGAGTGAATTTTGCTCTTCTGACAGCACTCCCGGGGTATTTTTTATATTTTACACCTTCACCAAAGGAGATCACCCTGCTCATCCCGAGGGACACGTGGGGACATCAAAGCAAGGAGGGGAAAACTCTTTATTCCTTTTCCCATCTAGGCACCACACTGGGGTTTGGGGGAATGTGCAAGGCTGCCCAAAGGGAAAGACAAAATACTGATTTTGTGGCCAGGAACTGCAGATAAACTGAGTCACTTCCAACCATTAACTCTTGGTTAATATTTACTGAATTTCCAGGAAAAGTTAAGCAAATACTGTAAATGTGTCCCGTGGATGAGGAAATGCTTGTTCTCCGTTGAGCAAAAGCTCAGAAAATATTTTGGGGTGTTCACTGAGAGGGTCTCCAGGGCAGGGGATGGAGATGGAGAATCCCTGAAGGAGCTGGGAAAGGGGAGAAAAGGAGGCTCAGGGGGGACCTTGTGGCTCTGCACAAGTCCCTGCCAGGAGGGGCAGGGAAGGAGGAGAGGAAATGGCCTCAAATTGCAGCAGGGCAGGCTCAGGGTGGAGATTGGCAGGAATTTCCCCGTGGAAAGGGTGGGAAGAGCTGCCCAGGGGGGTTTGGGGTCCCCATCCCTGGAGGTGGCACTCAGGGTGCCAAGGTGGCCATGGGGCACAGTTGGGGCACAGCTGGGCTGGGAGGGCTTTGCCAGCCTCGGGGGATTTGGGGGATTTTGGGGAGCTGGAATTGTGCACCCCAGCGTTTCTCTGCTCTGTGTTTTTTTGTTTTCAGCCACGCTGGGTCCCCCCAGGGTGAACAGTGTCAGTGCCACCCCCGAGTCTCTGCTCATCAGTGTCAGCCCCCCCTTCCCCCCCGAGCACGGGGACTCCCTCCAGTTCCTCGTGTCCTACTGGGAGAATTCCACGGGCCCTGCAGCCAAGGTCAGAGCTCTGGGGTTGTTCCCTGGGCTGGGCTCTGGGGTGGGGGGAGTCCCTGCAGGGACAGACACCCCTGGGTTTTGGCACCACCATTTCTGGGTTGGGGTTTTGGTTTTTTTTTTTGGGGGGGGGGCTCTTGGCACAAGGGTTGCTGCATTTCCAGACCTGGCAATTTCTTTTCTCTCTGGGGAAAGGGATGAAATTCCAGAGCCAGGGAGGTGACTTTGGAGCCACAGTTTCCTCAGGCAGTTTGGAAAACTCTGGAATCTCCCTCCTCCTCTGCAGGAGCTGATCCCAGGGCAGGGAGAGGAGGAACTGGGATGAACTGGGATGGACTGGGATGAACTGGGATGAGCTGGGATGAACTGGGATGGACTGGGATGAAATGGGATGAAAGGGGATGAGCTGGGGTGGACTGGGATGAGCTGGGATAAATTGGGATGGACTGGGATGGACTGGGATGAGCTGGGGTGAACTGGGATGAGCTGGGATAAATTGGGATGGACTGGGATGGACTGGGATGAGCTGGGGTGAACTGGGACGAACTGAAATGAACTGGGATAAACTGGGATAATTTGGGATGGACTGGGATAAACTGGGATGGAGTGGGATGCACTGGGATAAATTGGGATGGACTGGGAGGAGCTGGGATAAATTGAGATGAACTGGGAGGAGCTGGGATAAATTGGGATGGACTGGGATGAACTGGGATAAATTAGGATGGACTGGGATAAACTGGGATGGACTGGGATAAATTGGAATGAACTGGGAGGAGCTGGGATAAATTGGGATGGACTGGGATGAACTGGGATAAATTGGGATGAACTGGGATGAGCTACCCCTGTCCATCCTGAGCCTCAGAGATTTTGGGGTCACTGTGTCCTGCTGGGTCCATGGGAATTGTGCTTGGACAGGCCAGAGGTGCAGGGCAGTTATTAAATCAGGCTT